CTTTGAGTCCGTTTCTCTCTGGTGATTGATACTTTGGTGCGCTTGAATATAGGTCGTTGAAGGACATCGAATTCGCCAATGATCATGTGGATTACATGTTGTGGTTCTTCTTGCTCATTTTTCCTTGCATCTCTCTCCCTGAAGTGATTCTTAGCCCGATCACTTAGGAACTCTCTAAGGTGGCCCTCGTTGAATAAACGAGCCACGTCTTCCCTTAGCTGCCTGTAATTTTCTGTTCTATGACCATGTGTGCCATGATACTTGCACATCAAGTTCGGATTTCTTTGAGAAGGATCGGTCTGTATAGGCCTCGTCCATTTGGTGTCTTTAATTCTCCCAATAGCTAACACGATCCCTGATGCATCCATGCTGAAGTTATACTCCGAGAGATGAGGTGCCTCTATGGGGTCAGTATGTTTATCGAACCCGCTCTTACTCATGAGTCCCCGAGAATTTTGACCTCGGTCATTTCTCCGATCATTTCGAGGAGCATTACGGCTTGGGCCGCTGTTCCTCTGATAGACATATGGCTGATACCGTTCTTTATTGAATCTTGATTCCCTGTTTGCGTCCCTCGGGGGCTTGGCTGCGAACCTATTAGGATGAACTAAGCCCGAGAGGGCTCCCAACTGGTCGTCCTCAACCCTAATTTTTGATTGGTAATGGTTGTGCACAACTGACCATGTCACAGCTGGATACTCGATAAAGTTCTACTTTAATTGTCGAGACGCAATCAAGCTTCTTTCATTCAAGCCCTACATAAAAGCTTGTACTACCCAGTCATCCGAGACCGGTGATAACTCCATTCTTTCCATCTGAAACCTAGACACGAAATCCCTTAGCATCTCGTCATTCCTTTGTTTTATTTTGAAGACGTCCAATTTTCTCGTGACCAACTTTATGGCCCCGGCGTGTGCTTTCACGAGGCATCTGCTAACATAGCAAACAAGTCAATAGAGTTAGGAGCTAAGTTGTGATACCAAATCATAGCTCATTTCGACAAGGTTTCTCCAAATTTTTTCAACAAGACTGATTCAATCTCATCGTCATTCAAATAATTTCCTTTGATCTCACAGGTGTATGAAGTAATATGCTTGTTGGGGTCGGTTGGTCCGTTATATTTGGGTATACCAGGCATGAGAAACTTTTTAGGAATGGGCATTGGAGCCGCGCTCGGAGGGAATGATTTTTGTTTGAACATTTTGGCGTCTAGACCTTTCAAAACTAGAGGTGCCCCCGGTATTTGGTCAACATGGGAGTTATAAGTTTCCACCTTTTTCTCATTGTATTCAATTTTCTTTTCTCCGGACTCGATCCTCTTAGTGAGCTCTTCGAGCATTCTCATAATTGTGGGGTCGGTCCCCGAGCCGCTTTCATTTGGCATTTCTAACGCCGGTTCGGTACGTCGAGAGTTTACTGGCTCGGCTGTATTCAGAGTCTTATTCTAACTCTGAAGTTGAGAGATGGCGACTTGTTGAGCTTGCAACATCACATATATCACTTGGAGGCCAATTCCCCCATCTCCCATTCCTTGCGTTCTTTGGCCACCAAATCGGGCTTCCCTGCGTACATTCTCTTCGGGGTCTATGCCTAAATCCGTGTTTAGAGCGATGTGTGAACTAACATCAACTGGTTCCATATTTGGCACTTCCCCTGGGTTTATCGGTAGTACACCGACCCCTGCATTGTTGTTTTCTCCAAGACCTTCGTTGTCATGAACAAGTGCGTTTTGTGTGCTAGACATGTTTTAACCTGAGAATCAAAAAATCTTGACAAGAAAAGGTGTAAAAACAATATACTATGTAATATGAATCAGTAAAGAAATAATCACTATTATCTTTAGCCCCACGGTTGGCGCCAAACTGTTTACCTCGAAAATACGAGTAACTATTAAATTTGATTTGTGGTTTTAAAGATATGTGATTTAGTTCAATACCAATTAATAATCAAGAAATATGAAGTAAAAATAAAAAAGACAAGTGAATCAAACCAGTGTTACCCAACAGCGGTGACCTCGAGCTTAGTGACCTCGAGGTGGGCTTAGAGTAATAAAAACAATTAAGCAAGAAAAGTAGAGTAAGAACAGTAAAGCTAAGGACAATTCTGATGAACAGTAAGCGAAAAAGTAGAGAGTATATTTGTTGCTCAATGATTAGATGGTGTTACAAATGATTGGGGTCCCCTTTATATAATAGCGGAGCCCTAAATAAGGTATATTTCCATTTACAGTAAGGAATATTCATGACACAACTGTCTAACCGCCTAGTACGGAATCGTACAATCTTATTCCGGGATTTGCGCCATGCTATTGGGGACGTGGCAAGAATCTAGCTTGTTTTGTTACAAATTTGTAATGGTACTATTTCGGGGTCGAGCATACTTGGCCCGGTATTCCTCATACCCCTATCTCCGGGCATTACACTCTCTCTTCGGGCTCGAACCTGGTCCATCGGTCTTCGAACTCGGCCTCGCTCGCACTCGGGCCTAGGACGGACCCTCGAGCCTATAAATCGGAGGCATAGGTTTTGACCGTATACATAACTTAATTACGATTTTAGTCAATGTAAAAATTATTTTTAAAGGGTAAAAAAGGCAAACGACATTTCATTAATGACTTTTGTACTTTTAATATAGTGTGTGTATATATATAGAGGGGGGGGGGGGGAGATGAGTAGATTAATATAATTATCCCTAATCCCATAAAATAAAATTACCCCGCACGATAAAGTGATGTGTTTACCCATTTGCTCCTATTTAATCTTGCCTGTTTTGATTTCTATATTAATTTCTTTTGGATCTTTTTGCTTAGTTAATAATTCTCTCGTTCATTAAATTTATTCTATGTCGTTGTATTGGTAAAAAACGAAAGCACGAGAGAGCTTACAACCTCCATTCTCTATCTCAACCTAGGAAAGATCTTTTCAACACTAATCACATCTGCAGACTAGGTGGTTCGCAAGGTCTAGTATTTAATCTTCTCTCACAAAAGGTCAAAATGTTACGTAGTATATACTACTGTTTGATTCAAAAAATTAATTTTGAGATTAAATAATTAAATTTGTGTTTTCCAAGGGCCACTTGCAATGTGTTTGATTCGGCACAGTTGTAAATAATAAATAAAGATAAAGGAGAAATAGCGAAATAGATTAAAAAGAATAATGCAACAGAGAAAATTCTTCTTTATTTTCAGTCCCGAAACAAAGTTTAATCAGAAAAAAGGGCTAGCACAAGATGTATTTTTGTTACAGAGAGGATTTTATTCGATGATCTTCTTTTTGAGCGTTGGAGCAACTTTTATAGCGGTGAGAAGAGAACTGCTTTTTCGGGTTTCGAGCCAGCACGCCAGTGAATTAGGTAGTGAGTAGCGGAATCCTCGATAGTGGCTTCCATTACGACGTATCGTAGATATCCTCGATCTATGGATAAAGTTAACTGAGTCTCCGAACTTATTTGACCACCTCTTCGATACTTGACCCTTCGATGACCATAACCTCAGAATCTTTCGAATTCGGCAATGAGTCCAGTCACTTAATTTCTAGATTTTAATTGTCACGTAGAACTTTTCGGTCAAATTGCGTGAAGATGGTAATTTTTATCCATACAACTACTACAAATTTTGACGCTAAATGAATTACATTGCAAACTTATAGCCCGTTTGGCCAAGCTGCAAAAATCAGCTTATTTTGAGAAGTGCTTTTTTTCAAAAGTATTTTTCTCAAAAGTACTTTTGGTTAGAAGCAGTTTGTATTTGACTAATTAGTTTGAAAAGCACTTCTGAGCAGCAATTAGTGTTTGGCCAAGCTTTAAAAAAGTGTATTTTTCTCAAAAGTACTTTTGGTTAGAAGCAGTTTGTATTTGACTAATTAGTTTGAAAAGCACTTCTGAGCAGCAATTAGTGTTTGGCCAAGCTTTAAAAAAGTGTATTTTTCTCAAAAGTACTTTTGGTTAGAAGCAGTTTGTATTTGACTAATTAGTTTGAAAAGCACTTCTGAGCAGCAATTAGTGTTTGGCCAAGCTTTAAAAAAGTGTATTTTTCTCAAAAGTGCTTCTCAAAAAAGTGTTTTTGGAAAGAAACTACTTTTTCTGCTTCTCCAAAACTGCTTTTGCTTTCTCCTCAAAAACACTTTTTTTTTCCTTCTAGAAACTTGGCCAAACACGTCAAATTGAGGCCAAAAGTGCTTTTGGCAAAAAAAAAAAAAAAAACTTTTGACCAAAAATAAGCTTGGCCAAATAGGCTATTAATTTCTCCAAGTGGATTGTTGGGTTATTAATTCACTAGATTGTTAATTTAAACTTCAGTACTCCTTGAAACTAATTATTTCACCATTGCTAAAATTTTAATTTATTATTCCTTTTCTGGTTTTAGTGCAATGGACAAGAAGTTCGAATAGGGAAGGAAAAAAGAACAAAATAATCCTTATTCCTCACTCTTGGCGGCCGCCAAAATAAAAAACAAATTTCTCATCATGACTTTTTCTTTTACTTCCGCAATTAATCGGTTGAAAAATATTTCATATTAATACGAGAAGTAGGATTCACCTACATTACAATATATATATATATATTTTTTTACTTTTGCAATTAATCGGTTGAAGGTCATGTTGTTTCCTTATATTAAAAGGGGAAGCAGGATTCCACTAATTTAGCAATGGTCAGAAGCAGAAAGTCACAAGATCAGATCTCATATATTGTAGTAATTGAAATAGAAATAGTAATCTAATTTGTTAGTCAAGGAAAAAAACTTTACTCATTCCATTCAATTTATATGATATTTTTTTTATTAATCTGTTTTAGAAAAAGAATAATATATTTAAAATAATTTAACTTCTAATTTTTTATTTATTATTAGAAAAAAAGGTTTTATAAAATCACAAAGTTGAAAAATCACAATTTTCACAAATATTCTAACTAAAATGACGAGTTTCAGAAATTATCTTTAAGTTTTATAAATTGGATCAAAAGGAAAACAGAAAATTACCCAGAAATGGAGGTAAGCCAAATTTCATTCTCTAAAAAAAGTTTCCAGTCAAGCGTATGCCGTCTAGAAAGAACCAAAATAAGTAAGAAAAATAAGAAAAATGAGTAAACAAATACTAGAATGAAATTCCACTCTACTGTATTTGCCTACCGTTGACTGCAATCTCAGTCCACGCTTTCAGACAACCAACCTCTCGCTTTCTTTCAAAACCCCCACCTTCCTTACCCGTTAATGGCGGCTTCTCCTTTTCCTTCTCTCTCTTCCACCCGTTTCCCTATTCTTTTACTTTCTCATCAATTAACCAAAACCCCCCATATTCTCCATGGATCCAGCACTTCAAGCTTTTCTAGCTGCTGCAGCAAGCTTCGTTGCAGTCATCTTAATCTTCGGTGCTCTCTATGTTTTCTGCAGAGACCCTAATAAACGACGCCGTACTGAGCCGACCCGGAATCGTCCCGAGACCCGAAACACCCGAGCAATAGCTAGTAATACGGAGCTTTCTTCCATCACGGTAACTGAAAGTGCAACGTTTGACCCGTCCCTGAACCGGATCTCCATGCCGGAGCTCGTCGACGCGACCCGAGATTTCTCGCCGGAACTTATCATCGGCGACGGCAGTTTCGGTATGGTGTATAAAGCTAAGCTCGCCTCCGGCGTCTCGGTCGCCGTGAAAAAGCTCTCCGCCGATGCTTTCCAAGGGTTCCGGGAGTTTCGGGCCGAGATGGAAACCCTCGGTAATATCCGGCACCCAAATATAGTCAAAATGCTCGGGTACTGTTCCACGGGTTCTGACCGGGTCCTAATTTACGAGTTCGTTGAAAAAGGTAGTCTCGACCAATGGCTTTACGACACGTCATCAGCATCCGACATGGCAGAATCAATCTCTTGGATGCCGTTAAGTTGGGTAACGAGAATTAACATTGTTAAAGGAGTTGCAAAAGGACTTGCTTATATGCACAATTTGGATACTGCAATTATTCATAGGGATATTAAAGCTAGTAATATCTTATTAGATGCAAATTTTGAAGCTTATATTGCTGATTTTGGATTGGCTAGGAGAATTCAAGGGTCACATTTACATGTTTCAACACAAGTAGCAGGTACAATGGGGTACATGCCACCAGAGTACATTAATGGTGCAACAAAGGCAACTACAAATGGAGATGTTTATAGTTTTGGTGTGCTAATGTTAGAGATTATTACAGGGAAGCGTCCTAATTTCCCATTTAAAGGAGAGGATGGTCGTGAAATTAGGCTTGTTAATTGGGTTAATGATATGGTGGTGCAAGAACGTTACATGGAAATGGTTGATGCCAATCTTTCGAAGGATGGATTGAAAGAAATTGCAGTTATTGAGTATTTTAAGATTGCAACAATGTGCGCTAATGAAAATTGTATAGATAGGCCTCCCATGAATGATGTTGTTGAGATATTGAACGGAATTCCAACAAGTTAAGGGTCGACATTCATTTCTTCTTAAGTATTCATAGATGAGAGCCTAAAAGACACCTTTGATTGCTCACCGATGTAAGGTAATATGTATTATTCTAAGTTTTATATTTAGTAGTTTAAAAATTGTAAAAAGTAGGACAATTTGTTGTTTTTAATATTAAGCGAATGAGATAACTACTTCAGAGATCCTAGCTAACTGAGATCTCGGAACTTGTGTAAATTTTTCAGGTACAGGTACATGTGTATATAATTGCACCAATTAAAATTCTTTTGACCTAAAGTATGTGTATGTGTATACCGCGTTGTCCTTCAATTCTGCCCTAACATGTCTTCCCTGTTCATTCATCCACTAAGGGGTTCAAACAAAAAAGTTAAACCAATGACTTGGACATTCAAAATATAATATATGGAAATAAAAAATAGATTTCACCATATATATTTAATGTAATTTTTGGGGAAAGGGAATTCTCCCAACCCCCTTCCGCCCCTAAATTCACCCCTAATATCGAGTCTCCCTTGTTCTGATGTTACTACTATAAAAAAGATATAAAGCACATGCCTTGATTTGTCTTTGCAAGAATGACATATGAGTAGTGGCATATGTGCATGTTCTCCGGATCATGCTTAGGAATCAAATGGAGTTGATGGATTAACAATACACTTGGGTTATTGAGTAGTTGCCGTGTTTTCTGGCTGAATATGGCAATGTCGCATCATGATTCATGGCACGAAAGTTCGGAGTAGCGAATTGTTTGACCTGTTTTTGCATCACATGGCTTTGAGTTGTCAAATGTACAACTAATAATCAATTAGACGTACAAATGTTAGTTAATAACGGAAAATTTTATTTTGTGTCTCATGCAACTGACACTAGTTGTATGAGACAACTTTTATGTCTCACAGTTTTGCGGACCCTAATTTCTGTGGACCCAGAAGTGTAAGATTGGGGTCCATAAATTTTTGAGACAAAAAGGAGCCTCATACAATTAGGGTAAGTTGTATGAGATACAAAATAAAACTTCTCGTTGATAACCAAAAATGTCCGAGGACCAGTTGGGCACATATCGAAACTCGATGAATAATTACTAGTTATTGGACACACATGATGCACGCATACCCCTCAAAATTTTTAAAATGATAACAAGTATAATCCTGAAACATGTGTATATGAGTAACGCAAAATTTGAAGGGAATAAATGTTAGCAAACTAATGAATGGTGAGCTTATTCGACCGACTTGATTGTTGAATGCAAAACGGTTACTATCGTTGAAGTTGAACAACTACATTGAGGTAGATAGGTAGGATGTGTAATGCGATCAATTATGATGTTTTTAGATACATATATATAATTGATCCATCTCACCTAATTCTATCATAAGCATAGATTTCAGTTCGCACTTGGAAAAATGCTGTGAATGTGCTTTTTTTAACATAGTAATCCAAAATTCTTTATATAATAACATTTAGTCTCAACTGATCGAAATCGTCACAACTTTGCAATCATAAAATGTAATACGGTAAGAATGACCAAAAGCTGATGAGAGGAAATTAAACTTGACACGTATGATACCTCAATTCGCTCATCCTATAATAAAAAGCAAAACTCTAACGTAGTTCACTAATTATATCGAATGCTTCTGGACTTTTTGAAGACTTTTTTAACCTTGTCTGATTTTTATGAACTTGTTGAAAAATTTTCCTTATCAAGAAAAGAAATTTTACTTTCAATCAAATACAAAATTTAGCAAAAAAATAAATTAAACGCACTGAAAATTAACAGCAAACAGGGCTTCTAGCAGAATTTCTTTGTGAACTTTATGATCAATTTTTAGCAATAAGAACAAATGATTTCAGACTTCACTTTTCTAAAGTAATTCAAGTTGTATATATCTGAATGTGATTTTAAGGAGATTTTGCTTTTAAGGTTATGCAATTATCAAATTTCAGTTGGTTATGATTAAGATTATCGTGAAAAAAATAATTAACGAAATAAAAAAAATAAAATAGAGTTACAAACCTGAAAATTTAAGTAGCAGTAGCTATGATGTCAGAGAAAAGCAAATAGTATTGTATACGTTAAAATCATGTACCCCGATTTTGTGGGCTAAAGGGCTCACATGGAGGAACCGAGGGCTCGCATTGAGGGATAAACTCAGCACGGACAGGGTTCGAGTTCGAGGGCAGAACATAAGGATCGAAGATCGAAGTGCACGATGAGTACCGAAGCCGAGTATGACCAACCCCGAGATGGAGCCGTTATGAGTTTGTAACAGAATGAGCAAGATTCCCGCTACGTCCCATAGATCATGGCGTAAATTTCAAAATAGATTTGTACGAATTAGTACTAATCCGTACTAGGCGGTTAGACAGTTGTCCCAATAAGATTCCTTACCGTAAATACAAATGTACCTTATTTAGGATTCCCCTATTATATAAAGGGGACCTCAATCATTTGTAACCATGATGAATGATTGGCAAAGAATATACTCTCTTACTTTCTTTCTCATATTCCATCAGAATTGTCCTTTAACTTTATTGTTCTTGACCTGCCTCGAGACCACCTTAGCTCGAGGTCGAGACTGGCTTGCATACTAGTTTGATTTTACTTACTTCTTTCATTTATTCATCAGGTTTCTTGGTTATTAATTAGTATTGAATTAAGTCACGTATCTTTAAAACCACAAACAAGTTTAATTGTTACTCGTATTTTTTAGGTAAACAGTTTGGCGTCCACTGTGGGGCTAAAGATAATAGTGGTTATTTCAGTACTGATTCTGATAACACACGTTATTTCCACACTTGTTCTTGTCAAAGATTCTTTGTTTTCAGGTTAAAACATGTCAAACTCACAGAACACGCCCGTACACGGTGATGACAGTTGGATTTCATGGGGAAAAGGAGAATGTAGTTGCTCCGGGAGCCGGTGTACCACCGATTAACCTTGGGGAAGTGCCAAATGTGGAAAAGGTCGATGTTAGTTCACACATTGCTTTAAATGCGGATTTAGGCGCAGACCCCGGGGGAAGTGTACGCAGGGAAGTCAGATCCGGTGGCCAAGGAACACAGGGTATAGGAGACGGGAGAGTCAGCCTCCAAGTGATATTCGAGATATTGCAAGCTCAACAGATTGCTATCGCTCAGCTTCAAAGTCAGCATAAAACTCCGAGTGTGGTTGAACCAGAATCACTCGCCGAATCAAATCTGTGCCGGAGAGATCGAACGGTAATGGCTCGGGAACTGATCCCACAGTTATGAGGATGCTCGAGGAACTCACCAAGAGAAACGAGTCGGGGGAGAAAAAGATTGAGGATAATGACAAAAAAATGGAGACTTATAATTCTCGTGTTGATCAAATACCGGGGGCACCCCCGGTCTTGAAAGGTTTGGATGCCAAGAAATTCATACAAAAACCATTCCCTCCGAGTGCGGCTCTAAAGCCCATTCCTAAAAAAATTTGTATGCCTGATATACCCAAATACAACAGGACAACCGATCCTAATGAACATATTACCTCATACACTTGCGGGATTAAAAGAAACGACTTAAATGATTATGAGATAATGATGAGATGTTAAGGGAGTTCGTGTCCCGATTTCTAATGGATAAAATGGAATTATCACCGGTATCAGATGATTGGGCGGTACAAGTTTTTATGCTGGGGTTGAACGAGCGGAGTTCGATCGCATCACGACAGTTGAAGCGAAATCTGATTGAGTACCCAGCTGTGACTTGGTCAGACATACATAGTCATTACCAATCAAAGATCAGGGTCGAGGACGACCAGTTGGGAGCCTCTTCAGGTTCAGTTCATCCTAATAGATTGGAAGTTAAGGCCTCGAGGGATACGGATAGGGAACCAAGATCAAATAGGGGAATGGTATAAGACATATATCGATCGAAGAAACAACGGTTCGGGGCGTAACGTTCCTCGGAACGATCAAAGAAATGATCGAGGTCAAAGCTCTCGGGGATTTATGAGTAAGAACGGTTTTGATAAACACACTGATCCTGCGGAAGCACCTCGGTTTTCGGAGTATTATTTCAGTGTAGATGCATCGTGGATCCTGCCATCTATTGGAAGAATAAAAGACACCAGGTGGCCCAGGCTTATACAAACCGATCTTTCTCAAAGGAATCCAAACTTGATGTGTAAATATCATGGCACACATGGCCATAAGACTGAAGACTGCAGGCAGCTGAGGGAAGAGGTAGCTCGATTGTTCAACGAGGGTTATCTTCGAGAGTTTCTCAGTGATCGAGCTAAGAACCACTTCAGGGAAAGAGATGCAAACGAAAAAATGATTAGGAAGAACCGCAAATGTAATTCATATGATCGTTGGTGATGTCAATGTTCCGCAAGGGCCTATATTCAAACGCATCAAGGTGTCGATTACCAAAGAAAAACAGACTCGGGGTTATGTGCCCGAGGGTGTCCTATCATTCAATAATGAGGAAGCGGAAGGCATATCTCAGCCGCACAATGAAGCACTGGTAATTTCTATTTTGTTACATAAAGTTCAAGTTAAACGTGTTCTAGTGGATCCAGGTAGCTCAGCAAACATAATCAAATCAAGGGTAGTAGAACATCTCGGCCTACAGGACCAAATTGTACCTGCATCTCGAGTCCTAGATGGCTTCAACATGGCAAGCAAAACAACAAAGGGGGAGATAATCCTACCAGTGAACGTGGTCGAGACCATCCAAGATACAAAATTTCATGTCATCGAAGGCGACATGAGATATAATGCACTAGTCAGGAGGCCATGGATCCATAACATGAGGGCAGTACCTTTAACCCTTCATTAGATGATGAAATTCCTAACAACAGATGGCGTGAAAACGGTTTACGGAGAAAAAAACACTGCAAAGGAAATGTTTGCAGTCGATGAGGTGACTCCGGTACCAGTGCTTTCGACCTCGGAAAAATCGAGCACGAAAGATAAGCAGACGGCCAAATAGCAATCACCGTCCCCAGCCTCGACCGAATCGTATGAACATGTAATCGAAGAAAAAGAAGAGGATTTCCTTACTCCTCAAACTTTCATTGTTCCCGAAAAGTTAGATGCAACCAAGTCAATGGTCGAGGAACTGGAACAGGTCATACTGATCGAGTAAATGCCCGAGAAAAAGTTATACCTGGGAACGGGGTAAACCCCTGAACTCAGGAAAAAACTTATTCAATTTCTTATCAATAACATGAATTGTTATGCTTGGTACCATTTAGACATGACAGGGATCCCACCGGAAATAATAACATACCGGCTAAGCCTCAACCCCAG